TTACGGAAACTTCTATCCCTCTACCACACCCAGATTTCCACACCAACTTTGAGAAAAATGGCATCCATTTTAAATCGGGTACCCTCTCAAAGCTGACTTATAGCATTATTTCTTGCTGACTTTCAGTCATTACTTTGGTTATTAGTTTCAGTAATTATTAATATATTCAAAAATTTTCTGCTTCAATACTTTTGATTCTATGTCTTTGTATATTCCATTCTGTCTACCTGGATGATCGTCTTATGCCTGCTGGTCGTCTGCTAGTGTCTGCTCATCTTCCAGACCTTGACGTCCATGTTCTTGCTGGTAATAAGCCTTCCCTGACCCCAACAGAAGTTAGAGGCCATGTTACATGTCCCTGCTGCAGCCTCTATCTTCTCCTCACCAGGCATTTCTCACACTGTAGACAATGCCTGTCTGCCTGCTTGTGCCTGGTGCATCACTACACTATCCACAGGCTCTGAGGCAGGGCCCAGCACAGAGTAGAGGGCAAGGATTATCTGCCATATAAACTGATGACATGCATGGTAAAGCACAATGCGTGTGTGGCATCCTTTGAGCTATGCCACTCTGTGAACATCAAACTGAAACAATGACTTATTTCACAAATTAAGAAAAACATTATTTTGGGCTGGCCCGGTGGTGCACTGGATAAGTGCGCCTCTTGGGAAGCGCGGCGGCGCTCCCGCCTGAGGGTTCGGTTCCCACATACAGACTGGTTCCCGCTCACTGGCTGAGCGAGGCGCGGGGGCAGCGCCGAGGGTTCCAGTCCCATTGCCGGTCCCCGGTCCGGTGCGGGGGCAACACTGAGGGTTGCGATCCGTTGCCGGACATGGAAAAAGACAAAAGACAAAAAAAAAAAAAGAAAAAGAAAAACATTATTTTGAACATAACACCAGGTTAGTATGGCAGCATTCAGAAAAAGTAGTACAAATAATACAAAATTAGTTCACTGCTCCATGCCATCTCCAAGAGTGTCAACACAAAGAGGATAACAACAGATGTTTCTGAAAGAGGACAATGACAGCACCTTCAGGGTGGCAGAGAATGGTGATGATGTGGCACTCTGTACACCTGCCTACCAGTCAGGAGACCTGGGTTCTTATCGCCCTGGTTCCAAATCTAGTCACTTGCTCTGAAACGGTTTCTTCTCTGGATAATAAGAACCCTTCTAACGCTAACATGTTGGAATTTTACGGGAAGAGAGGATTCTGAGAAGATGGTGGCTGTGGCAGCAGTTTTTGAATCTTTCCAAATCCCAACATAAAAACAGACAAAGCTACTAGAGTTTTAAACCAAAAACCCACAGGCAACATATACTACAAAACTAAGTGTCAAGATATTGGCAAAAACCCCAAGATAAAAGCACAGCCACAAGACCTGTACGATGACACCATTGAGGCAGGAGAAGAAAAGGGTAGCAACAGGGCAGCCGATAGGGGAATAAGAGAATCCCAAAAGAGCCAAAGGGTGTTCACTGCAAAGTGAAGACAGCAGCTAAAACTGAGAGGGTTTTGTCCGCTTCAATAGTGGGTGGGCCCAAGGGGTCCCCAGTAGGAGCTAAAGGGGCTGGAAAAGCTTATGAACTCTTGAAACTGACCTGCCAGTCTTCCCTTCCAGGACAGGATCCCATCCTGGGGAGAAACTACCAAGAGGAATCAGAATCGAGCAAGGCAGGGATTATAGAGAGAAAGGAAAAAAGGTCCAGATAAAAATGGGGGGTGACAACAGAGCCAGGGAGTCACAGAAGCAAACCGCCGTCTTTTCAACACTGCGTGAAAACAGCAGAAGAGGGAGTGGACTCTGTGAAGTGAGAAAAGCTGCCCTTGAATGAGGCCTTCCTCTAAAAGTCCAGGATAACTAACTTCACATGAAAATGAGCCACAGCAAAGTGTCAAGGTCAAATCCCACACAAAGTTATCATAAGAAAAAAGAATATAAAGAGCAGAATAACAGTGTACAGATACTGAAAGCGTGCCGGAAAGACATTCTTATGGACCACATAAAAAATTAAACCTTCTTAAAAAACTGTATTCTTTTACTTATTTTAATTGACACATTGTAATTATCCATATTTATGGAATACAATCTGATGTTTTGATACATATATATGTTCCATGATGATCAGGTTAGGGTAGTTAGTATATGTATTACCTCATTCATTTATTATTTCTTCATGGCAAGAACGTTCAAAATCATCCTTTGTAGCTATTATACAATATACAAAACTTAACAGTTAAGCAAAAAGATGTTAAGAAGGTGATAAAAGCTATGAAAGGACAATATACATCAGAAACGAGATAACACGGTTCAGGAAAAGATTAAAACTAAAAGAAAAAATCATTTCAGAAATAAAAGCTATACTAGACAGAACACAAAAAGAAATAAACACAACAGACAATACCTTAAAAGAAAGATGAAAGAAAGAAAAATTTTTAAATACAAAAGAAATAAATAAAAAGATAAAAAGGTCACAAATAGTAAAGTCAGGTAGTGAAGCTGCAACATACAGCTAATAGGAATCCCAGAAGGGGGAAAAAAAAAAATCAAAGCAATTTATTTAAAGTTATAATACAGAAAAACTTCCCTGAAATTAAAAAATTTCTGAAACTATGTACTAAAAAAAGCACATCGTGTACCTGAGAATAGCAAGCCAGATGACTAATACACAGACGCATCCTAGTAAAATTACTGAGCTTTAAAAAATAGAAAAAAAATGCTTTGTCCATCTAGGAAAAAATAGCAAGTGACTTCTAAGGGGGAAAAATTAGATTATCATCACTCTTCGACAGCAACACTGTCAGGAAAAAATGAAAGGAACATATTGAAGGCACTCAAGGAAAGAAAACATGAGTCAAGGATTTTAAACCCAGCAAAATTGACTTTCATGTATAAGGAACACAAACATTCCATATTCAGAGAATACTGCTCCCATGATCACTTCCTGAAAAACCTGCTTTAGAATGAGCTTCAGACACCCAAAATGATCAGCGGGAGATGAGCATAAGGACTAGTGGCACTTAACACGGCATTAACATGTAAAATGGAGACTAAACGAGAGCTGGGAAAAGAGTGGGTGCAGTGGCTACACGCTCCGACACTGTAGATACAGCACACGTATTTTAATGTGGGAAGAATGGGGAGAACACATAGAAAAAAATTCTTTTAACTGCTTTAGTAATTACCTAGTAGTATCATCCTGAATTTGAACAGGAAGGATCAGTATGATCTCATGAGGCACTTTACATTAACGACAACAAAAATGATCCTAGCTCTGTCCCCTGAATGCACCTTGAAAAAGATCAACCCAATAGCAACAGATATTCCCAGCAGGCAGATTGTCGTTTGAAATACCATTTCCTACTAAAAGAAATGAGAATTTCTCAGATAAAAGGTTGATTCCAGATCTGGGGCAGGAAATGTACAAGATAGACCTAGAACTTTTGTCACCCCAGATAATGAGGAAGCTATCAAAGTCCACCAGATTGAGTCAAAAGCACTCAGGGGCCAACTTGGAGAGGCTCCTATTGGCCAAAGATGGGACAATTTACGCTTCAAATAGAATAAAAATTGCAACTGATTAAAATCCATTAAATATATTAAAATTCATGAATTCACAATGATATGTAAAAAAAACTAATTAGTGACTGTCAGAGGATGATAACCAATTTACTATCCAGATGATAAAGGAAAATGCAATTACCCTGCTTTCCCTATATGAACTAAATCACTGTGTAACCAAATAGTGGAGGAAGGGAAGTATTTCTTTAAAAAGTATTCCAACTAATAAATGAAAAATAGGTATAGAATATCATTTCTAAAACCACCAATGAACTAATAGATTTAGGCACTGAATATTGACAGCTGCTAGCATGACAAAAGAGATATGATGTGCCTCCCAACAAAAGAACACAGCATCACCTCTAGTTCTTCCAAAGTGATAGAACATGAGTCTGATCAAGCCTCTGGATCCAGCTGCCAACTTGCAGGAAATACACAGGGTTGAGGAACATTTATAACTTCACCATAAATATGCAATCAGAAAAACCTACACCATGGGCACTTAATAAACCAAATGCCCTTGGTTCCTCAACACTAATCTATATTTTCAATTAGTAAGCCCAGAATAAGTATTCAACATCTTTGAAATTCCCTGAACAGCAGCTACAAATAGAATTTTACTTATAGACTATTACAAAAATTAAAGAATTACTTCATAATATGATTTCATTAAAAATCCAAGACCACTTTTATATAAACATGGAAAACCCAATGTTATGTTTAGATATATGAGTATTAACTAATTACAGAATCTAATGCATAACTGGTTTTCTTAACTAGAGTACTTCCCCTTCCCTTGAATTTCCTCATATATAATGAAGCTTCAGAATACTGTTATGTACATGCTCAGGGTTGTCTCTTAGCAGAAGTGATAGGCTGGTCTAGTCCCCGAATGGTCGTCGGCATAAAATTGTATGGTGTCTGCCAGGGACATAACTACTGAACAACATTTTTCTCTCAACTAAGTTAACCAGACTTTCAAAATAATTATACAGAGGACCTGAACTCATTAGCAGTATCCTCCAGTCAATTCCATCTAGACTTTAAAATTCACATACAACATTCTATGTTTTCTAACATAAAACAAATTTGTGTTTCTTTTTTATTCCTTTTTAGAAAAACCTTTTAAAACATGTTTTAGTTAAATTATGCAAACCTGAGGTAAACCTGCAAAGGGAATAGGATGTGTAGCTTCAGACAAACTAACTATATTCCAAATTACAGAACGGAGTTAGTCACGGCTGTATCCAAAAGAATAAATACAAACGGCTGGAAAAGAAGGCTGACTAGCACTTGTTTAAGAGTTACCTCAGAAATGTTTTTGTCGGTTTCTTTCCTTTTTTCTTCCAGTTTCCTTTCAATACCTACAATTCCTACAGCCCTTATTCTTCCTGGCTGAAAAACAAACGTAGAAAATAAAACATACAGAATAGGAAGGAAACAAAATCTTTTGTAACCCACCACATTGTGTTTTCAGTGGTGGGAAGGACTTACAAAGAACCAAAGAAATGCAGCATACAATTATATCTAGTTTCCTTTCAAAACATTTGTCTGTTTCTTGCTGTGCATAATGATCTTCAAATCATTAAAGAAAAACCAATATACAATAATGGTGTATTTTACTCTGTATTTTAGATATAAATTAAATTTCCTATTCATTTTTGTTCTTTGGCAAGCTATTATGTATCAGATAGGGTCTCAAATGCACAAAAAGGTGTAGCTGAAATTTTGGAAATTGACAGTTATTATCCATCCAAGCTACTTTCACACATTTGCATGCCTGTCCATAGTTGGTCATCAATTTAGGCTGGCCTGGAAAATGTCACCCAGCTATACTGTCTATTCTCTCAAATGACACACTGATTGTGAAGAACAGAATGTGGTGAGTGGAATCCAACTTCTACCATCCTGAGAATTACTCTGGTAAGCAGTCGTTTATGTTTACTACATGTCTACTATCTATAGAGCAATAAATTAGGTGCTGTGAATATATTTTTTTTAATCAGAATACCATTATTTTGTTTTTTGACAAGTTTGATAATCAGAGTCTAGATGTAAGTATAGAGTTGAAATACTAGATTTGCAAACAGTTTAAAAAAATACCTGGGGTCCTCTATTTGCTTGTAATGACTGGGAAACTGGCATATTCTCCCATCTTCTCTGTGTCATTTCCTCTGATAAACGCCTATAAAACTGTTAAGCAAACACATACACTTTATATGAGTCCGTCAGGTTGTGGCATCCTTGTACAAATCACTAGTTAACATTTCTTTAGTATAAAGTTCTATTCAGTTACTTGCAATGAGCCTAGAAGTCTCAGAGACATCAAAGAAAATCAAAGGAAGTTCTTTTCTTGGGTCAACTTCAGACAGCACAAAGAAAAAAAAAAAAAGAAAGGAACTGACCTTCTGTATAAAGTGGGCTATTCTCAACAAAGACATGAGTGACAATGAAATAAACAGAGTTACTTTAAACTATCCTGCCTATGTGGATTGTTTTCAATCTATAGTAAAACAAACACAGTGCCAGGAAAAATATACAACCATTTTCCAAGGAGGAAGCAGAGAATAATTTGTCTAGTTAAAATTTGAAGTCAGAAATTAGGGCCAAAACATACCTATGCTTACAAAAAAATTAAATACATTTTCAACTACAGTGAGAATGATTTCAGTCACTTATATTTGCTTAGTGACTATCTAAGGAGCACTTAGTGACTGTACAAAAGAAAACATAAATAATTTATGATATTCACTGGAAGATAAACACATACTTGCAAATGTCTTAAGAATACTTGTACAGCAACTTGTTGACTGGAACATGTAAACTATTATACTGCAGAATAATACTTAAGTGATTGAGAGACTGAATGATTTAAGGCTGGTGAGCTTTCAGATACTGAGGTACTGTAACATTTCACTGCATTTATCTATCCTCTGTTCCTTTAACAAAACTACACCACTGAACACTTTACTAGTAGCCTAATGGCATGGCTTAGCACATTTCCAGCCTTTGTTTCCTCCTTGTCCCCACACCCTCCTGCTTTCCATTCCCACTGAAACCTCAACTGTCTGATAAGGCTTAAGACAGAGTAAAAATTATACTGTACAAATATAGTAAAACCTGGTACACTGTATAATATTGCCTTCCATCATATTAACAAACCACAACAAAAATACACACACATATATTTTTCTAGTCCAGTTTTATTCATATAGAAACTTACCTCAATCTGGCCATGTTCTTTGAAGGAGAGTTTGATGTAGGAGTTCTTACTACTCTGGAATGGGCCAGGTTCTTTGTTAGGAGGAGCTGGGTGAAGATGAACCACTATTTTGGCACTAAAAAAAGAACAAATGTAACGTATTTAATTACCTTTAAAAAAATCACTAATTCTATTTTAGTAACTTTTAATATATTTCAAGTCACTTTTAAAATTCATGCGGAAACAGAGAACATCCTTTTAAAGTTTGCGTTAATTCAATATCAATAAGCTTTCAAAAATATCTCTACTTAGGCCGGCCCGGTGGCGCACTGCTACAGTGCGCCGCTTGGGAGCGTGGCGACGCTCCCGCCAAGGGTTCGGATCCCACATACAGACCAGCCGCTCACTGGCTGAGCGAGGTGCGGGTGCAACACCGAGGGTTGCGATCCTGTTGCCGGTCCCGGTCCGGTACGGGCGCGACACTGAGGGTTGCGATCCGTTGCCGGTCATGAAAAAAGACAAAAAGGAAAAAAAAAAATATCTCTACTTAAAACTTACGAGCTATAAACCAAAAAGTTTTAAGTTACTAGCTCTATAAACTAAATAAAAATGTGGTT